TTAAATGGTAACAATAGCACGGAACATGCAAAAAAGTAAATTTAAATAAATAAAAAAGAAAATTAAATAAAATAAATTCAAATAAAAAAGCAAATTTAAGTAAAAATAATCTTTCGCAGTAACATTATAAAACTAATGTTTCAACTCAGTTGAAATCTGTACTATTAAAATCTAGGCGAGTCTGTCTCTTTGTTTATGGCATTATTCTTCTCCAGAACGGCGGGGAGTTGAGTTTCGAAAGAGTATCCTCGGATTCCAAAACTTAATGGGAAGCCATTTTGACCATTCTCATCTTCGTAAGACTTTAATTAGCCGAGATTCTGGAAAATTCTGAAAACGCTATTTTTCGCCCTCATTTTTCCGAGTGGCAACAGCCTCCCACGCTGGAGATAAAATCTGCTTATTTCGAAAAGTATTGCCGCTGCTCGCTTTCAAATCGTAAAGTTTGTTAATAAAAAATTTATAAATTTTACAAAATATGAAATGAAAATAGCAGTGCCAAACATTTCATATATTATTCCGGATTCCCAAAATTTATGGAAAGCCATTTCTACTATTCATATCTTCGTACAACTTTAAGCAGACGAGATTAATTTAAAAACTCTGAAAATACTAATTTTCGCACTCATTTTTCTAAGTGGCAACAGTCTTGCGCGTTGGAGTAAAAATGCTTTATTTCGAAAAGTGTTGCTACTGGTCGTTTTCAAATCGTAGAATTTGATAATAAAAAATTTGCAAATTTTACAAAATATGAAATAAAAATAGTTTTGTCAAACATTAACTAATTACTATTATACAAGGTTACATAAGGTCGTTGGTTCTGACGTTGAAGAAAGCACGCGATTTGCATGTGACGTCATGTTATTGCCACTTAATTCTTTTATTGATATTGAGAAGATGTTGTTATATTACATTAAATTTAAATCATGACGTCATACATATTAGCCTGAAGTGTCAAAAGTTTTTGATTCCGGGTTTGGCGGTGTGTGTGTATTTAATTATGGCAAAGCACACGAGGGCTATCTGCCTAAGGGGAGGGATGCCTTCGTGGAGGACTTTCTAAGGGAAACTGGCTCGTATACACGTTACACATGGGGAAAACCACAAAAAACGCCCATGCAGCCAGCCCGTTCGCGGGATTCGAACCTCGGACCGAACTACCAGTGTTCAGCGACTTTACCGCTCGGCCGCTGGTGGGCCTCGGGTTTGGCAATAAAAAATTATTTCACGAATTGGCTGTTGCTTGCAAAAAATGAACAGATTTCATTCAAATTGAAATGTTTTTATACATTTGCTTTTCAGGAGTACATTGAATTTATAAACTTTGCTTTGGCTGCAGCCCGTTAGTGTTACTTAAATGTCGTTCAAATATGAAGCTACGTTTTTCAAACAGTAGCCATATAAACAGTCTGTATGAAAGTATAAATTAAAAGTATAACTGTAACCTAAAAAGAGGCGTAGTCAATTTTACGTCATAAAAAAGCGTGTCCAAGCCTAAGACAACATCTCGATTGAGTCAAGACTTAGAAAAGACTACCTACCAGAATATTTCCTCCTTCAAAAATCCTAATGATTGTACAATGGCGCCCGAACACTTTTTTAGATGAAATTCCCAAGGAAAAATGGATCACCCCTACACGCACCTGCAAACCAACGATTAATGGCAAATAGAATATTTTTATACCCCAGAATAACAAATATGAAATACTCGCAGAACACTCGAAAGAAAACTCTTAAGAAATGGAAAACAACACACCCGCATTAACAAACAAAATCCTGCGTATCGTCATTACAGAACCCAAACAAGACTGGATTCCGATTGATCAAATAATCCAGGAAACTTGCAAAGTGAATATTGAGGCAGAGATGAAAAACAGATTTACCTACGCATAAATTCAATTGACAATTTTAATAATGCCAAGTAAAATCTCCAAAAGGCAAAATTAATTTTCACACTTACCCAATCGACTTTGATCAACATTTAAGGTCATGCTGAAAAACATCCTCAGCACTGTTTCGGAAGAAGAAATTTTCACCGACTAAGATAGACGGAACTTCCCGATTATCAAAGTCAAGCAATTCTCATAAAGCTAAACCAGCAAAAAATACAATTCCTGATTTACCAGCTAGAACTTCACAGAAATGCAAACGGCTAAGCCATTTGCAGACTGAATAATGTTTTAAACTTTCATATACTCATAGAAAAATATGCACCCATAAAGAGACCCATCCAATGTTTTAATTGCCAGGAATTTGGTCACTCTCAATTAAACTACTACAAGCAAATTCCTTGCTGCAAATTTACCAAAAATTACCCCAGTAATACCTGCGAATTACAACCAAAAGAGAACGGGATCTGCATATTTTGCTCAAACCACGTCAACAGCTACTTAGGTTGCAAAATATATCAGAAGCGATTGTAAAATAATACTAAGCTCCAACTACCACTGAAAAATTATTAATAGCTTTTAAAACCGTCGAACTTATGCTGAAATTTGCAGTAGACTAACTTCCCTACTATTACAGAACAAACAGTCGCCGATGGGATAAATACACTGAGCTACAGACTTCAGCTTTGTTGGTTCGGGCCTCGGCCCAACTCACTTTTCCTCAAACCTACCATGCGCCATTTTTGGCCTAGCTAAAAGTAGATTCCCTTTTGATCTTGCAAAACTTTGCTTCTATACACAGCGCACTATGCGTAGGTTTTACACCTTGTGGATTTTAAGATTTTTTTAATTAAGCTTTCCTTAAGGTCTATGTTAATTTATGGAAGTAAAGGTCGATGGTTGACTAAGTTTAGGTCCAAGATCCAATTGCTTTTTCAGTCTTGCAGATTTCTTCGCTCCTGATGAAGAGGGACTTGTACCTGTTTGCCTTCAAAATGAATTGAGATTTTGACTTAAGTCTACGCCAAACTCAAGGTTGTTGTGTTACTAATTTTATTAGAAGATTTGTTTTTCAAGGATACTGTTTCAGTAGGAGTTGGATTAGTTAATTTTGCAATCGGTTATTTTAGCAATACCCTCTCATTCTCCTTCAAATTCCCCTTCCGTCTTTTTCTTTTTTTTTCGAAAAGAATCACTTATCGATTTTACTTTTTCATTTTTAACGAGTATTGCTAGAAATTTGAATAAATAAAAATTATATGGAAAAATTATGTACACGAAATTAAACGAATGCAGTATCAAGATAAAAATAAAAACAATTATTTTTTTCATTACTAGTACTTGATTTAAATTTTCATATATAATCATTTATAAGCGTCAAGAATGGTATACACGAGCTAGATACGAATTGCATTGAATAGCTGAATCGGTGGAGACGCATATGGAAACCATGCAATTTAATTCTTAAGAAGCCATGCTAGAGACGCTGCTGAAACACATAGGAAACCTTAGCCTAACATCAAATACAGTTATGATAATAACTGATTAATGTGAGTAAAGAAAGTACTAATAATTGTATTAATAGCAATATTCTGAAAATAATTCTTTACAAAATGTTACAAAATGTGTATTCAGTAAAAAATGGGAACTTTTAAGAGCATAAAACTTCAGACCTAACATCGCATTTTGATGTATTCGAATGTTCGCCATGTTAAAATGAAGCGAACTGGGAAGAGAAACCTTTGTGGTGATTTTCTTGAAATGGCAGCAGAGACCTATCGCGCTGAAGTTGGTCTATTGAAAGCATGAAAAAACGAACAGAACTAATGTAAATAGATCAAGTAAACACTATGAGTACTCAACACAAATCTCTGTCCACAATTCCAGAAACCGGAAAACACCAACCGCGAATCTATCTATAGACAACAACTTACTCATTTACAAATCCATATTGCGTCTCACGCTTTGCTATGCATATCCAGTCCGGGCGTATGCTTTAAAATAATAGAAAAAGGTCACAGACGGCAGATTGTAGATGTCCCGTGGTGCCTTCAATAACCGGATCCACGAAGAACTAAATATTGCACAGCTCAGGAATCATTACTATTTTCTTGCAAAAAGTGTCCATGAAAGGTCTATAAACAACCCCGTTATTAAAAATCTGTTCTTAAGATTACAATGATTTAGCAAATAGTAATAGGCTAATGACTGTTCTCAACAACTAAATACTGAAGAACTATATTATGTTATACCTATGTATCTATACGTTATTTGCTTTTATATCTCACTTATGCGATGTTGCTTCCCTCTCTCCTGTTTATGTAATTACCTAACGCTCCAATTGACTCGTAACTGCCTATGTCATTCTATGTTTCTAACGAAATCACCAGCTCGAACTGGTTTTTTTCTGTTCTGCGAATGTAGAGTGATGTCTCATGTTCAGTTATCTAATTATTATTACATCTCTGTAAATTCAGTCAGCTACAATCTCTTTTTAGTTCTAATTTGCAACAATTAGGAAAGGTAAACTGTTCCACATGGGATAGGGCCTTCGACCTAGGTACCCAGGTGTCAACATCACTTCTAGAATCGGAAGCAACTGAAAATGCAGCCTTCGCCCGTCAACTGTATGAAAATTAGCATTGAATTAATAAATAAAAACACTATTTGTAAACTTTATATTTTAGAATATACTCAGAACGAGAAAGGAAGACTGGAAAAGGAAGAGTACACGATTTTAATATTAATAACACAAATCTTGATTTTAATTTTTGTTACTTGGCAAGCAGAGAAAGATTACCTTAAAATTGGTTAATGCAACTACGAAAACTTGTAAAAACAGCTCATTCAGTTTGAAATTATTCTTAACACAAAGAAAGTAGCCGTGAAGTTTTATTTTGCTTAAAACGAAATTGAAATTCTGGATAAAAAGAAAATATTTACGAGGAAATTCCCCCAACGGTAAATGATTGTGTTAAGATGTGTTGGCAAAGAGAGTTTGCATTGCTGCTTGAAGCCAGCGCACGGGAGAAACCGGTTACGGCCAAGGTCAAACTAGTTTGACCTTGCTAAGCTTGCCTTTTCTCTCCCCCCCCCCGATTCGAAAAGCTGCATAGATGAAGATATTTTGTAGATTTAGGAAGTCTAGCATCATCCTTACCAGGAAGAAAATGACAGGCGGCTTATACGTGAATATATTAAGTTAAAAGAGAATCTGGCAACCGTAAGATTTATTTACTTCGAGGCGGAAGGTCGGATGCGGCGGAGATAAGCTTATCTTAAATCCATCATTTCCGCCAAGTTCTTCCTCTGTAGTGGAAGGGTTTTGTGTCGCTTGAGCTTTCTGGATGTTCAGTCGTTTTTAAAAATGTCTAGCACTACTCAAGGTATCGATACCGATTGCATGACCCTGACTCGGTATGTTTTGGCTGAGCAAAGGAAAGTGCCACATGCCACAGGTGACCTAACTCAACTTTTGAATAATATAACCACAGCCATTAAAGCTATTTCTTCGGCTGTCAGAAAAGCCGGCATTGCGAAGCTATATGGTATGGCAGGTGAAACCAACGTTCAAGGTGAGGAGGTGAAAAAGCTAGATGTCTTGGCTAATGAGTTGTTTATAAACATGTTGAAATCATCGTATGGTACTTGCTTACTAGTTTCAGAAGAAAACGAGAATGTCATCGAAGTGGAAACAGAGAGGCAAGGAAAATATATTGTGTGTTTTGATCCACTTGATGGATCTTCCAATATTGATTGTTTAGTGTCCATTGGGTCAATTTTTGCTGTGTACCGCCGCACCTCAACTGATCCTCCATCACCTAAAGATGCCTTGCAGAGTGGTCGTAACATAGTGGCGGCAGGATATGGTCTATATGGTAGTGCTACCATGCTGGTATTGTCTCTTGGAGGGCAAGTAAATGGGTTTATGCTTGATCCCTCAATTGGTGAATTTGTGCTTACAGATCCAGATATCAGAATCAAACCTAGGGGTAAAATTTACAGCACAAATGAAGGTTATGCTGCCCTCTGGGATAAAGCGGTCACGGAGTACGTAAACAGCAAAAAAAATCCTGCTTCTGGTAAACCTTATGGAGCTCGTTACATTGGATCCATGGTGGCTGACGTGCACCGAACTTTAAAGTATGGTGGGATTTTTATGTATCCTGCTACAAAAGAATCTCCGAAAGGAAAGCTTCGTTTGATGTATGAATGCAATCCAATGGCATACTTGATTGAAAAGGCTGGAGGCATAGCAACTACTGGAAAAATGCCAATTCTGGATATTGTACCTGAATCAATTCATCAGCGCAGTCCCATATTTTTAGGCTCGCCAGAAGATGTGAAGGAGGTTATAGAATTGTATAAAAAGCATGAACTTTAAAAAAATATTCAGTAACTTTGAATTTCTACTTATTTTCCCACATTATATAAAATAAACATGAATTTACTTAAATGCTAAGTGCCAAGAATATTTTTGTTGCTAATCAAATGTCTTGATATAGCTTAAATAAGTAATTAAAAAAAAAAAAAACTTTTATAAGAGACATTGTTTGTGGATTGTTGAAGAGAGAAATATATTTTTATTATAGCTTTTTTGCCAATTTGTGTTAAAAATATATAAATTATTTTTGATATTAGTATATAAAGAAGTTTAAAATGTACGTTATCAATAAGGAAATATTAAAAAATTCTATATTCTTTAGAAATGAAATCTAGTATTGAATGTCAAAAGTGTATTTTACATTTTTTGCATTGTACAGTGTAATACACACAAAGCTAATAACTATGGTGAGAGAAGAAATTGTATTCTGCATTAAGAGAATAAGAAAGGTAATGTTATTTATATTTATTTTAACATTACTTTAAATGAACTAAACATCTGGTATTTTTTTGAAATTCTTTTAAAATAATATCTTGATAAGAACAGCTTTACTCATAAATGACTTATTTCTGTAAATTTTGATTATTATATTTCATTTTATTATAACATTTTGTAAAACTGCATTTTTGATGAACTTTCTACCTTTAGGATTCATATTAAGTAGTATGACACTTAGTAAGCATGACACCTTACAAGCACAAATTTTTCTTTTGAATTTAACATTAAATGAGTTTTCCGAAGTAAAAAGATATTTTTCACATTTAACATTTAAAATCTGCTATATTTTAAAATAGTACAAGAAAATCCAGAATTGAATTTTAAAGAAGGGAGATCTGTATACTTACATTTTTAAAATAACAAATTCTTGGGAATTTAGAATCTAAATATTTGAAGTTGATATAATCAAATACTGATTTTTTTGGGGGGGGGGAAGGTAAGGAAAGATAAATTCTATTACAATGTGTAATGCAGTGCATCTGAAGATGATATATATAGACATAGAAGTATTTTTATGTTAATAGATTTTAGAAATATACTAGAATTTTTTTTAATGCAGATATTAACAAAATTGGTATTTATATCTAGCTAAAAATTATTGGATGATAAGAGTGACCTACTTTTTCATATGTATTATTATTCAGACTTGTTTAAAATAAGTTGTTCAGATAAGTAAACCTATCTTTAATGGGTGATACTGGATCATCTTTTTCTATAAAGATTTTTTTTTTAATCAAATGAAAGGCACTTGCCTTTTTTTCAGCATTGGCCACTCCTAAGGCCAGAAGTGGTGGCACCTAATAGGCGGCTATGTTACCTCCTATGAGGGGACAGAGAATGTACATCCATGCCTTCATATTTGCCATACTAGTGGACGTAAGGATTCAGAATGAAATCAGAAAACAGACTAACAAAAAATAGAATTAAATAGAAGTGATTATTTTCATGAGAAGGAACACAGTGTTTGAAAATTAATAAAGATTTTCATAGCAAAGCATAGATGGCTCCTGTGGATCATGAGCCATATGCAGATTTGCAGCTTTAAGCTGTTGATTTCGTACTTTTATTTAAATGATATGTAGCAGAACTTTTTATTGGCAATATATTTCGGCATCTGTATCTATCATGTGCTATCCATCCACGTGCAAAGTTGCATTTCTTATTCCTGGATCTCATGAATTTTGAGATTTTTTTAAACAGCCCATCATACATTGAAATTAATTATATATATGACTATTATATATAAGGAAAATATATGTTGTATAATAATCAAATATTAAATAATTCTAATGAATTTTAGCTTCCTTTTTATAAACTGATTATAAAAAGATTAGCATAGACCAAATATTAAAGAGTTCTAAAACTTTTGTAATAGTTTTATTACCATTTTTAAGGAGAAAAATGCTTAAATAAATTTTCAGTTACATATTTTAAAAATAAAATGAATACTTTAAGTTCTTACATTTTAATTAGAATAAAGAAGAAATTAATTTCGTAGATGATATTTTTTTCTGATACTCGAATCATTAAGCCTAAGTATATATTTTAGCAATAGTACAGCTGTTTTAATACCAAGAAGGGTAATGGGTGCCCTTTGGCGATTTTTGACGCAAAAACACAAATCCCAAATAACGTCTAAGAATTGCTCAAACTCGGTACCCATGTACACATCAACCTGTTTTTACTTAAAAAAAAAGAAAATCAAAGAATTGTGCAAACTCGGTATCGCACACTCTCTTTGTTCATGTACACATCAATCTATTTTCAGTTAAAAAGTCAAAGGTGCCCAATCCTACACTAGATCCAAATAAGAAATATATAATCTCAATAAACTACATTTTAAATCAAACAATGAAATAACATAAAAAAGGGAATTCATCTTATATAATCTAAGCACTACACAAAAGAAATATCCACTTACCTTATTTAGAAATTTCTGTCTTCAGTCTGTGGCACAGCAGAAATTCCTTAACAGCATCCAAAAACTTTTCTCAAACCGTGATCCCTTTCTAATGGAATGCTTTATATGGTGAGCATTTGAGCCTTTCTTGCTACAAACCCGTCTGAATGATCTTTAAATTTGACCATATGCATTTCCTTCATACAAACAGGACACTTATAATTCTGTTGAATTCCATCCAACAGTTTTTTTCTGTCCTCAATCATTCAAAAAAAAAAACAAAAAAAAAAAAAAACCCCGCACTTTTCCACGCTTTTGTTCTATACCACGAATCCCTCAGTTTAACTACCATCATCAAATTAAATAGATGAAACAGCTATTTATATATTGAATATGAAATAATTAAAATGTATATATGCGATATTTACAATGAGGCGATTTTTGATATTTTTCAGCCACATTGCATTTCACAGTTTTACTAAATTAAAAGTTTATCTATTAAAATAAGATGGCTTGAAAAAAGAGAAACAAAAGCAAATATAAATTTAGTATTTTTTCCAGATCCTGTGATTTTTCTTGCACAAGTTAGAACTGAACGTTTTCGCCAGCCAGTACATCCTAGTCTGATTTTTGTTTGCATTAAGATTTACATTTGCAAATGAAAATTGCACTTGCACAAGGATGTACAGATTAAAGGTACCCTTATAAAGTTATGCTGGCCATCTTGCATGCTGTAGATGTTCTACAGAGATTAGGACTCTGTACCTACATTTTCCATAGCATTTTATGATAAAAAGCACATAGCATGCAACGTACTTCCTAACTAACATTTAACACACAGACAAGCACTTAAAAATCTTTTCCCATTGGTCAAATTCACCACAATCATGCAACCAATTACGTCATAATAGGGTTTCCGTAACATTCAACTACTCAGGTTACCATAAATGGCAATAATCCTAGGGGCACCCTTAAATATAGGCTAACCTAAAGAAGCAGATTTGACTTGCTTGCAAAGTTATTTCTTGCAGTACAACATATCATAACATGAGGTAAGATGAACAGTTTATGTTGCTATGTTCAGCTATACCCCACCACCAGATAGATAGCTTTATTAACTATGTTAAAGTGGCACCTCCTTTGGCAGAAATGACAGTAACGACTCTATTCGAAAAGCTATTCATCATTTTTATTGTATGCAATTAACAAGTTAAATAGATGAAACAGCTATTTATATATTGAATATGAAATAATTAAAATGTATATATGCGATATTTACAATGAGGCGATTTTTGATATTTTTCAGCCCACATTGCATTTCACAGTTTTACTAAATTAAAAGTTTATCTATTAAAATAAGATGGCTTGAAAAAAGAGAAACAAAAGCAATATAAATTTAGTATTTTTTCCAGATCCTGTGATTTTTCTTGCACAAGTTAGAACTGAACGTTTTCGCCAGCCAGTACATCCTAGTCTGATTTTTGTTTGCATTAAGATTTACATTTGCAAATGAAAATTGCACTTGCACAAGGATGTACAGATTAAAGGTACCCTTATAAAGTTATGCTGGCCATCTTGCATGCTGTAGATGTTCTACAGAGATTAGGACTCTGTACCTACATTTTCCATAGCATTTATAAGAGGTACCGGCTGAAGCAAGGCCAGCAACACCTGTGCATTCTCATATGTATATATTGGGTATCGCTCGGCCTGGCTAACTGAAACGTTTCCACCCCAATTTTAAGGAAGAATGCCTCATGAGTTGATTCAAGGGTCTCCCACCAATTACTCGAGAGGACAGCTCACCATGTACTTCTAGTGCCCCCTTGCAGCACAGACACTATACACTTACAAACATCTATGCCTTTTCCAGCACTCGAACCTGGGCCCATTGGTACGAAAATCAGCGTTACTAACCACTCTATCATCTAGGCAGTTCAATGCTCATAACCAAAAGAAAAAAAAAATGCTGTGAAACAGAGTGTGCCATTTGTATAGTAGCCCAGGTGTGCTGAAATAGGAAACACATCATACTGTAATGCTAAATTGTCTAAAATATTAAAATAGGCCTCTGTTTTTCATAATTCCCATCACAGGAGGCAGGAGTCTTAAGTTTGATTATGGCAAAGCACACATAGGAGTCTAAGAGGAGAGATGCCTTCATAGCAGACTTTCTAAAGGAACTCAAGGAGCAAAGACCAAACCTTAAGGAATTAGACTATACTGTGATGACCCTCTACAAAACTTGAAAAGAAATACACTTTTGTAAATACTTGTCACCTAGCATTGTATGCATCGAAACAGCATGGTGGGATTTGTCATCCGACATTAATTATCCCCATCATTCCAAGCTTCAGTTACATCTAGCTTGACACCATGCTAAGCAATGCTGAGCATTAGCTATGATATTGTATGGCTTATATGTAATTGCTGCCATGTTAAAGAACACAAATATTGCAGCTCTTAATTATCTGTCATTGTGCTGACATTCCATCTAGAAATATTGTGGAATTTTTTGTAAATGATTTCGGCTTGTTCCACATGGTTCCATTTAATTACCCTAGAAATGTTCTACATTTGTCAATCTACAAATGACATGATATTGGTAGAACAGATGGACTCCCAGAACTTTCTACGTTTCAAAAATATTGTTCGTAGTTGAGCATGCCACATTTAACATTGTCAAAAATTTTCAAACATATTTTCCACAACGGAAGCAACAAATTACCACTAAATTTAAAAACCTTGGGGGGGGGTTAATTTTATGCAGATTTTGAATGAAAGTCTATTGATTTCAAGGGTGATCAGACACAGGTCCCTCTTCTTCAAAAGAAAGAAAAATTACCCTCTTGGGTCAGCTTGTGCAAAGTGCACTTTTTATATTTACATATCATTACTTTCATATGGTGGCTTAGAAAATGTGCTGATACAGGCATCACATGAGGAATTAATTGTTTTCACTTAAGGTTTTTTTACTTGGTATAAATAAAAATCAGAAGTTATCAATTAAGTACACCCAAGATTTTTCATTAATTTTCTGTATCATATAAATGTACTACCCATCAACATAGCAAAGTAAATCATTTCAAATTCATCTTATTAGTATTTCTCAAAACCTTCATAATAAGTATTATATTAGCATAATAACTAGAACAGCTTTCTAATTCTAGTACACTAT